GTTGCAGCTCACAGCAACCTCAGAACTCTTGGGCTCAAGTGATCCTTTTGCCTTAGCCTCCCAAGTAGCTGGGACTACAGGCACCTGCCACAACAGCCAGCTATTTTTAGAGATTGGGTCTCGCTCTTGCTCAGGCTGGTCTCGAACTCCTGAGCTCAGGTAATCACCTGCCTTGACCTCCCAGAGTGTTGGGATTACAGGTATGAGGCACAGTGCCCAGCACCCTCAGCTTTCTGGTTTTTTGTCTGGTTTGTTTGTTTGTTTGAAGTTTTTGGCCAGGGCTGGGTTTGAACCCACCACCTCTGGCATATGGGGCTGGGGCCCTACTCTTTTCAGCCACTGGTGCTGCCCTGATCTGAATGAATCTTATATGAAAGATTCCTTCAAAGCAAAGGCAATATTCTAAAGGCAAAATTCTGTAACCTCATAGGCATCAGACAGGGCTTTTCAGGGATCAAACTTTAGGCACCATCCCTGAAGATCACAGGCCCTAGGCCCGCTAGTTTATTATACTCTGTTTAAGCAAGAGTAAGAAATGTCTCTAAAACATGCTAGGCAACTAACATATATTGAACACCACTAATTTCACCAGTTAAGTGCCCACTTCCACAGCCCATTATGCCAAATTAACAAACTAACCATTTCACCAATGAAAAAAACCCATTGCTAACATTCATTATGCTATTTAGCAGAGTGCAGAGATGAAGGTAGCTGAAGCCTTTATAGTAGCTGCATCTGGAGTGGGGCCTTCTGGTACAACACTAGCTAATCATTCCTGGGCGTGCTCCCCCAGTTCAGAAAATGCTGTCTCTGGGGGTATAACTTAAGCTATACAACATATGCATAATTACACAACACCTTTGCTAATTATTTTAAAGTAATTACATGCTGGGTGAGGTAGCCCATGCCTATAATCCTACCACACTGAGAGGCCAAGGCAGGTAGATTGCCTGAACTCATGGGTTCAAGACAAGCCTAAGCCAGAGCAGGACCCTGTCTCTAAAAATAGCCAGGTGTTGTGGCATACTCCTGTAGTCCCAGCTGCTTGGGAGGCTGAGGCAAGAGAATCACTTGAGCCCAAGAGTTTGAGGTTGCAGTGACACCATGGCACTCTACCGAGGGTGACAATGTGAGACTCTGTCACAAAAAAAAAAAAAAAAAAAAAAAAGACCAACCCAGGCAATAGCAAGAGCCCATTTCTACAAAAAATTTAAAAGATTAGCCAGCTGTTGCTGCACTTGCCTATATATAGTTCTAGCTGCCTGGGAGGCCGAGGATCACTTATGCTTAGGAATTTGAGGTTGTGGTAAGCTATGATGACACAAATGCACTCTAGCCCTGGTAATAGAGCAAGATTCTGTTTCAAAAAAATAAATAAAAACTAAAAATAAAAATAGGATTGGGTGGCACCTGTGGCTCAGCAAGTAGGATACTGGCCCCATATACCAAGGGTAGTGGGTTCAAACCCAGCACAATAGCCAGGCATTGTGGCAGGCGCCTGTGGTCCCAGCTACTCGGGAGGCTGAGGCAAGAGAATGCCACGGCACTCTACCGAGGGCGACAAAGTAAGACTCTGTCTCTAAAAAATAAATAAATAAATAAATAGGATTCTCAGAATCAGATCACTCAGTCAAGCTTTCCTACTGAACATAAGATTACACACATGCAGCACCACTAACTGCTAGTTGTCCCCAAGCACTCCATGCCCATTAGTGCAGATTACGCACTGCACAACTGTGTAGCTTTCCCAGGCCCTCTGATTCAGTCAGTCTCTGCTTGAATGCTGACAATTTCATAAAGCAGTCCATTTCTCTTTTTTTTTATAGCTCTGTCACAATAGTTTTTACTTGTGTCTAGCAAAGTCTGCCTCCCTGCAACTTACAGTCATAGCTCTCATTCTTATTTCTTTAGCTAGACATTATTTCTTCACAGTGGCCTTTCAAACATCAAAACAGAGATCTCAGGTAGTTTCTATATCAGGCAAAATATTCCCAGATCATTCAACCTTTCTCTTTTCCTAGTGAACCTTTACTGGATGTGGTTTTTTTGTGTGTTTGTTTGTTTGTTTGTTTTTTAATTTATTTTTATTTTTATTAAAATACAGGGTCTAGGGCCGGTGCCTGTGGCTCAGTGAGTAGGGCACCGGCCCCATATACCAAGGGTGGCAGGTTCAAACCCAGCCCCGGCCAAACTGCAACAACAAAAAAAAATAGCTGGGCATTGTGGCGGGTGCCTATAGTCCCGGCTACTTGGAAGGCTGAGGCAAGAGAATCACTTAAGGCCAGGAGTTGGAGGTTGCTGTGAGCTGTGACACAATGGCACTCTACCAAGGGCAATAAAGTGAGACCCTGTCTTTACAAAATAAATAAATAAATAAAATAACGAAAGAAAGAAAATACAAGGTCTAGAATTAAGCCCAATACTTTCAGTGCAGGCACAGTAGAACTCTTACTTCCTGGGAACTGAGGCCCATACTTCTATTAAAATAACCTACAAATGACTTAGATCTTTACCAGTTTCATCACACCATTAAGAAAAACCAAAGTTGTGGTCAGCTAACACCCCCAAATCATTTTTAATATCAAGTTTCCATTCTGGACAAGTTTTAAATCCCAAATCTGAGTTAAATCCCTGTGACATTTAGGTGACCATGGTGATTACTTCCGGCTGCTGCTTCCAGGTACCTATACTGTCACTGCCACAGCACCCGGGTTTGACCCTGAGACAGTGACTGTGACTGTGGGTCCTGCAGAACCCGTACTGGTGAGTAAGGCTGAGCTTTGCAGAGCACTGTATAGATCTCTTATATGATGTTTTAAATAACCAATTGCATAGTTCTAATCTTTGCCCAGCTTCCCTTTTCAACTATCTTCAAAATAAATTCACTGTGTCCTGGAGAAGTAAGTGACTCACACCTGTATTTCTAGCACTCTGGGAGGCAGAGGAAGGTGGATTGCTTAAACTCATGAGTTTCAAATGAGCTTGAGTAAGAGTAAGACCTCATCTCTACTAAAAAGGAAAAACTGAGGCAAGAGGATCACTTGAGCCTAAGAGTTGAACTTGCTGTGAGCTATGATGCCCCAGCATTCTACCCAGGGTGACAGAATGAGACTCTGTCTCAAGAATAAAATAAAATAGGGTGGAACCTATGGCTCAGTGGGTAGGGTGCTGGCCCCATATACCAAGGGTGGCAAGTTCAAACCCAGCCCAGGCCAAACTGCAACCAAAAAATAGTCGGGCATTGTAGGGGGCTCCTATAATCCCAGCTACTCAGGAGGCTGAGGCAAGAGAATCACCTAAGCCCAAGAACTAGAGGTTGTTGTGAGCTGTGACGCCATGGCACTCTACCAAGGGTGACAAAGTAAGACTCTGTCTCTAAAAAAAAAAAAAAAGGAAAAAGAATAAAATAAATTAATTGCCCTCATATCCTAATTTTTCTTCTTTCACTCTCTTATTACGCATTTCTCCACATCCTTTGGCTTTTCCTCTTTCTTCTGTTTAACATATCACAGTGATTCAAAGTACTGCCTGGTTCTAAATCCAGCTCATTTGCCCATAGACCTTGGACAGATTACCTGATCTCTCTTATCCTTGGTTTCTCCCTCGTAAAATGGGTGATAATTGTGCCTCCTTGACAGGAAGTTGAAATGAAAACATGCGTATAAAGCATTTAGTACAGTGACTGACACATGGGAAGTATTCAGCAAATCCTGGAGACCTTGCTCAGATACACAGGTTCAGGCTCCCACGACTTACATTCTTCTGTGCTATTAGCAAGGATTGCCTCCAGGAGGCGCTTTGCCACCCCTCGGGTGCCCTCAGGGCCCTGTGTGCCCAGGCAGACTTGCTTTCTACTCCCTACTGCAAAAAGGCAGCTGCTCTCTGATACTCAACTCTCCATGGTTTTCTTTTAAAGATGAGATGAGAAGCAAAGAACTTTAATTTACAGCCTGGACTTTTGCATCTTGGGTCATATTAGGTTGAGATCTCAGAGATAAAGGGGCTCAGAGACTATGAAGACTAATGCTCAGATTTCTCAAATGAAAACAAAATAATGAGGCAGTCCTATTTAATGAGAATCTACTAGTCAGCTCTTTCTTGGAGCCTCTTTACTCTGTCCAGTTCTTCTCTACACAGCCTTAAAGCTAATATATAAAGCAGTCAAATCACATAGCTTGTCTTTTTAAATATGGTAATACATACTAATTATTGAATAATCATGTATCAGATCCCATAGGAGAGCTTTCCAGAATTATCTCATTTAACCTTCACAACAACCCTGTGACGTAAATGTAAGGATCCCCATTCATGGCTGAAGGAACTGAAACTTAGAGACAATAAGAAATGTGTATAGGCTCGGCTCCTGTGGCTCAAGTGGCTAAGGCGCCAGCCACGTACACCCAAGGTGGTGGGTTCGAATCTAGCCTGGGCCCACCAAACAACAATGATGGCTGCAACCAAAAAATAGCCGGGCGTTGTGGCAGACGCCTATAGTCCCAGCTACTCTGGAGGCTGTGACAGGAGACTCACTTGAGCCCAGGAGTTGGAGGTTGCTGTGAGCTGTGATGCCACAGCACTCTACCCAGGGGGACAGCTTGAGGCTCTTGTCTCAAAAAAAAAAAAAAAGAAAGAAAGAAAGAAATGTGTACAATACCACACAGTGAGTAAGTGGTCTCATGCTAAGCTCACAACCTGTGTTCATAATTCCTTGTCCTTTGAAAATTCCTCTGAAATTTCTAGATAGATCTCCCTTCTGCTCTCCCAGTCCCTCTCCTCCCAACTCCTGAATATTATAAATTACTTCTACTTGCAGATGCAGAATGCAAAAAGTAAATCTTCCATTATAAACTGTTAGCTGATCCCAGTATCCCAACCAGCGTATCTTCTCCCTTTTTTATTGTTAGATCCTAAAATCAAATGACCAGTAGGCAGCTGCACATGTAAATCTTGCATTACAAGCAAGTCTAGTCGATGCCAAAAACAACTGCAAGGTCTCTTGAATAGTGCACTCTATTTCCAAGGACTGTACCTCTTTTTCTTAGATGCAGTGTTCTCTTTGCTTTTCCTTCCAGATGTGGCTGCTCCTTTCATCTTCCTCTGTCCGTGCCTCATTTGGTTTCTGTCTCTCCCTCCCTCCCTCTCTCTCTCTCTCTTCCTTTCCTAGATTCCTGTATTACTAAATAGTAAATGGCAAATGATATAATGCAGTTATCTCTGATTCTCTCTTTGCCTTTTTGGGGAACTGGCAGAAAAACTGGCTGTTGATTTTCTGTGGAAGGAGTAGGAAGTAACCCTGCAGAGAGGCCTCTCAGTCAGGGGCGTGATTTTTAACTCCCAGCTGGCTTCTGCAGCTTGAGCTGTTCCAAGGGGGGGAAAGCCAGGTCTGCCCCAGGGGAATGTGGTTAGGACAGTGTTCTGCCGCCTCTCCCTTCACTGCCAGGATGGCTTCCCCACACCCAGAATATTCCATATTTGTCAGTCACAAGCATCTTTCCATCTGCATGCCATGGCCAGAAGGGAAGAAGTTACAATGCAGCTCTTGAAATAGTTCATTAGGAAGACAGAGAGAGAGAGAGAGAGAGAGAGAGAGAGAGAGAGAAAGCATTAATGCATATGGAAATTTAGAGTTTGAGAATCCATACTAACTCTATCATCTCTACTATCTATATTATAGCAGGAGGTTTAGTTCTGAAGGGCTGGGACACCCAGTATCATGCCTGAGCGTGGCTCCTGTGTGAGTTTCCCCAGCAGCATAAGGCTGGTTGTTACAGCACCATCAATCATAGTTCTTGTCCTAAGCAGTAATATTGGTGAAATCATGATTTGATGTGTAGATGTAACTTTTTTCTAATTCATATAATATTAATGTATATTAAGTTCATTGAGCCACACCCCATGTATCACTCCTGATTGCATACCAATGTGGGAGGGGGGAATATTAGCCAACGACCCACTGGCGCTGCTCTGGGTCATTGTAATAATTTTTCTCTAGTCTCCTGCTATCAGAACTGTGGCAAAAGAGGGGCCAAACTGGTCTCCTAGCTTTTGTTTTTCCCTTCCAGGTTAACTTTCAACTCACAAGAAGCATCCCTCAAGCAAGCCCTTTGAGGAGAGCTCCCAGTGGAGGGCGTAAGAGCAAGGTGAAAGTGCAGCCCCGGGCAGCCAGGAAGAAAAAGATGGAAAGGAAGCAGCCCTGGAGAGGCCCTGCCTGAAATCCACCTGCTGGGCAACTTGCTTGTCAGATCACATGGTGCATACTTTCTTTTTTTTTCTTCTTCTTCTTTTTGAGACAGAGTCTCAAGCTGTCACCCTGGGTAGAGTGCCATGGCTCATAGCTCACTGCAATCTCCAACTCTTGGGCTCAAGTGATCCTCTTGCCTCAGTTTTTCTATTTTTAGTAGAGTTCGGATCTCACTCTTGCTCAGGCTGGTCTTAAACTCATGAGCTCAGGCAATCCACCTGCCTCGGCCTCCCAGAGTGCTAGGATTACAGGCGTGAGTCACCAAGCCTGGCCTGAAGCATACTTTCTATTTTATTATTGGGGACGTATTTGAACATAAACATATTCAGAACAGTTCAGAATGGTCTCGTCTGTTCTAGGGTGAGCCCCCCCAGGCTGTCATTAAGGGGATCAGAACCTATGAAGACTGGTACAGTAGCACCCACATCTAGCTGTGCTCAGCAAGCTTCTCCCATCCCAGGAGCGTAGTTGAGGCTCCATGCCAGTCTGCACTGCATCCAGAGGCTGGCTCTGGCTGGTCGGCCACTCTTTCTCTGGAACAGCACAGTTTGCACCATAGTAAGTGCTCAATTAAGATTTCTGACTAATGGCTCGGCGCCTGTGGCTCAAGTGGCTAAGGTGCCAGCCACATACACCTAAGGTGGCGGGTTCGAATCCCCAGCCCGGGCCCGCCAAACAACAATGATGGCTGCAACCAAAAAATAGCCAGGCGTTGTGGCGGGCACCTGTGGTCCCAGCTACTTGGGAGGCAGAGGCAGGAGAACTGCTTGAGCCCAGGAGCTGGAGGTTGCTGTGAGCTGTGATGCCACGGCACTCTGCCCAGGGGGACAGCTTGAGGCTCTGTCTCAAAAAAAAAAAAAAGATTTCTGACTAATGACTGAAATGCTGAAGGGATCCATTATTCTGGATCATTTCAGCAGTAGCCAATAACATCTCAATAAGCAAAAGATTGGACACGCAAATACCGAGCCCCGGGTACCTATCTCTGTACATGGGAATTTTAAATAATATGTATCTCACAAAACATTTCCTGACTATGTAAGTATGATGCAGATGGCTGTGGGGAAGGGCTCTGTCCGGACTTGTGCCCAGCAGCACATTCTCCACCTTGCAGAGCTGCCCAGAAAGAGCCTATTTGTGCTCAGAGCATCATTGAGCAAAGTAGATATTACTGAAGATTTTGAAGGGATGCGTAGTTTTTCATCACATACCTCACAGAACACAAAGGCACATAAAGGTCCCCAAGTCCTCTCTCTCTAGGGCCAGGTGGGAGTTCTTTACCATGTACCCCATTTCAGGGCTCAGCCTCTGTTAGGATGGGCTCTAGTCTCCTACCAGGACCTCTAATTAGCACAGCCCTTTCTTGACACTCAGCACTTTAGCTCCTCTAAATAAGTATAGTCAGGCACCAGAGTGATGCTGCAGTCAACAACAGACTGCATAGGTGAAGGTGGTCCCACGAGATTATAATGTTGTATTTTTACTGTACCTTTTCTATGTGTAGATACACACAAACTTACCATGATGGTACAATTACCTACAGTATTCAGAACAGTAACATGCAGTACAGGTATTTTGGGTGTATGTGTGTGTGTGTTTGTGACATAATCTCACTTTGTCTTCCTGGGTAGAGTGCCATGGTGTCATAGCTCACAGCAACCTCAAAGTCCTGGGCTCAAGTAATCTTCCTGACTCAGCCTCTCAAGTAGCTGGGACTACAGGTATCTGCCACAATACCTGGCTAATTTTTCTATTTTTAGTAAAGATGGGCTTTCACTCTTGCTTGAACTGGTAACTCTTGAGCTCAATCCTCCTGCCTCGGCCTCCCAGAGTGCCAGGATTACAGGCCTGAGCAGTGGCACCCAGCCTTGTAGTGCAGGTTTAGAGCCCAGAAGCAACAGGCTGTACTGCAGAGCCTGGGCGTGTAGATGGCTACAGCCTCTGGGTTTGGGTAAGGGCATGCTCAGACATTCTCATAATGACAAAATTGCCTAACTATGCATTTCTCAGAACATATACTTGCCCTGTCATTAAGTGACTCATGAGTGTCAGTGTATAGGTATCCTTTGGTATCCTTGGGACATTGGTTATAGGACCCCCTCAAATCTGAGGTCACTCAAGTTCCTTTCATAAAATGGAAGAGGGGCGGTGCCTGTGGCTCAAAGGAGTAGAGCGCTGCCCTATATACCAGTAGTGGCAGGTTCAAATCCAGCCTGGGCCAAAAAAACTGCAAAAAATAAATAAAAATAAAATGGAACAGAATTTGCAGATAACTACATATCTTCCCATATACTTTAAATCATCTCTGGATTATTTATCATGCCTAATTTAGTGTGAATGCTACATAAATGGTTGTTATACTATATTTGAAATTTTGTATTGTTCTTTGTTATCTTTTATTGGGTTCTCACACCTGGATTTTTTTTTTTTTTTGAGACAGAGTCTCAAGCTGTTGCCCTGGGTAGAGTGCCGTGGCATCACAGCTCATAGCAACTTCAAACTCTTGGGCTTAAGTGATTCTCTTGCCTCAGTCTCCCAAGTAACTAGAAGGCTATTTTTCCCTTGTTGTTGCAGTTGTCATTGTTGTTTTAGCTGGTCTGGGCTGGGTTCAAACCTGCCGGCCTCAGTGTATATGGCCGGTGCTCTCCCAACTGAGGTACAGGAGCCACCTCCCCCTGGATTATTTTTGATCTGCAGTTGGTTGAATGGGAACCTGCAGATATGGAAGGCAGACTATTCCCATACCCATCAGAAAATAAGAGGTATAGGCCAGACATGATGGCTTATACCTGTAATCACAGTGCTTTGGGAGGCTGAGGTAAGAGGATCACTTGAATAGCCCAGGAGTTCAAGACCAGCCTGGGCAACACAGCAAGACCTCATCTCTACAAAAAAAAAAACCCATAAAAATAAAAACTAATAAAATTAAGCAGGCATGGTGGTATCCTATACTCCTAGTTATAGGAGGGAAGCTTGGGAAGCTTGAGCCCAGGAGTTTGAGGCTGCAGTGAGCTATGATGATGCCACTTCCCTACAGCCTCAGCAATAGAGCAAGACTGTCTCTAAAAAAAAAAAAGTGTTTTAGCTGCAACAACTCATCCTCCTCTGGAGGCCATTCAGGATGAGGATTGACACATAATTTATTTTTCTGTTACCTGAATAATCTCTCTCTGGTCAAAAGGAAAACAGAAGAAAATATATATTTTCCCACTTAAGGAATTCTTTCTTCAAATTAAATAATCCTTTGTTTACATTTTTCTCTCTTCCAAATATCTATCCCATATTCCTTGGTTCCCTTCTTGTTGTTATAAGGAGGCAGCTACTGATGTTTATAAAATATGGTTACCATGCTCTTCATGGCGTAGCCACAGATTTTCATTCGTTCATCCATTCATTTATGCAGAAGACATTTTTTTGAGTCCTTGTTCTCAATAAAAGCAGAGAATGCAAAGAAGAGTAAGACACACTCTCTGATCTCAGTACAGCCATAGTCTCCCTGGGAAAACAAACAAACTATAATAATTGCTAATTCTATAAACTCTGGGGTAAGACGCCGAAGCAGTGGGAAGGTCTCTACTCCAGTCTTGGGAAGGTCAGCAAAGGGATCCCAGAACTGGCAGAGTCTAACACGAGAAATACTGTGATCAGACAAAGAAGTATTGACCAGGTGGGAAGAACTGGGGGAACAATAGTTAGGCAGAAGGGAATGCAAGTCTTCAGGCTCTTGGAAGATCTGTGGCTTGCTGAGGGAGCAGCAAGAAATTCAGTATCGTGATAGTCAAGTAAGTGGCCAGAATCTAAGGCCAGTGGGCAGGGAGGCACCAAATCATGAAGAACCTTTGAACTCTATCAGGAGTTTGGACTTTATTCTGAGAAAAACAAGAAGCCACTGAAGGGTTCTGTTGAGGCAAGTGCAGAGTCAGATTTAGAATGATTGCCCGGCTGCTGCCTGGAGGGCTGGGGCAGGGGGAGACTGAGGCTGGATAGTCACTGAGGAGACTGCTAACAGCCAGGTGGGAAGTGGCCAGGCAAGGTGACAGGGTGGGGAAACACCAGGCAACTCCAGAGTGATTCCTGTCACCTGCAGCCTCTTGGCCTTCTTTAAGACTTCCAGTGTTCTCGTTCACATCCCTCCTGCCTGCCATCTGGGGATTTTAAGCACTAAAGGAGATGCCGCTCTTCAAACCAAACCCTAAAGACGATCCTGAGTAAGATTCACTCAAGACAGAGGTGGTTATGCAGACTATTACACAGAAAATAGCCTGGTCATGCCCATATGAAAATTGTTCACTGCATACCAAGGAGGAATGTGAATAAGAACTAACAGAGGGTGGGCAAGAACTTTGGGCTCAGCATTTTCCTGGAATGTACCATTTATATTTTATATCTGGAATTTTATTTTAAAGAGGAAGTATTCTGCAGAGAATGCCATCCTAAAGATAGTCCTTAATAATAACATAATTAAGGGCATAGGTTTTAGACGCTGATTCTCTTACTCATTTGCTGTGTACCCTTGAGCAAATACATTACCTTCTCGGAGTCATAGTTACTCATCTGGAAAAAAATATAAGAATACCTACCTCACTTGGGGTTTGTAGGGGTTAAAGTTGATTTTTTTTTTTTTTGCAGTTTTTGGCCAGGGCTGGGTTTGAACCCACTGCCTCCAGCATATGGGGCCATCACCTTACTCCTTTGAACCACAGGTGCCACCCTTAAAGTTGATACCTTTATCAGTCAGTCAGGAAGGGGGAAGGCAGTTCCTGCCCCCACATTCTCCCAGAGGATTATCTCTCAGGCTGACTGAGGGACTTAGGGATGCAAATAAAGAGTTTGGAAGTAACACAGTCTACTCCAAGACTGAACCAATGCCTGTCTTTTCTTTTCTTTTCTTTTCTTTTGAGACAGAGTCTCACTTTGTTGCCCTCTGGTAGAGCGCCCTGGCGTCATAGCTCATGGTAACCTCAAACTCTTGGGTTGAGGTGATCCTCTTGCCAAAATGCCTGGCTATTTTTAGAGACCAGGTCTTGATCTTGCTCAGGCTGGTTTCAAACCTATTAGCTTAGGCAATCCACCTGCCTCAGCCT